AGCAGGAAGGCAGGCAAAGCTGCTTTGGGGTTTAATTGCTCATGTATTGAGCTTGTAGCTCACTGCCTGCTTGCGATGTGGGATCTGGAAACCCTGGAGAAACATCTCCTGGATATCTCGTCAGTGTTTTCAAGAGCCAAAGAGAGTGTGTGGATTAATCCATGTTGCAAATTATGGCGTTCGCTAAACGAGCTATATATAAAGTTCATGCTCTCAGTGCTAGAAAAATGTCAACCTTTCACAGTTTAAAGTCTTCAGATAATCACTCAAGTGTTCAGAGACCAGCTGAGGCTCAAGTCTTTGTATAAATTTGAGATGACTTTTGGCTTTAGAAGCACCTAAGCTTTTCTTCTGGCCTGGAGTATTGGCAAACTATGATATATTCACCAAATCCTAGTCTGAAGGGGCTTTCAATTAGGAAAGGATGTCTCGTACTGCTGATGGAATATAAAGTGGTACAGCTGCTTTGGAAGATAGTCTGGCAGTTTCTCAAAAGGCTAAACACTGGGTTACCATGTCATACAGCAATTCCACTCCTAGGTGTCTACCCAAGAGAACTGAAGACATACAGCCACTCAAATATGTACACGCAAATCAGAGCAGCATTATTGATAACAGCCAAGAAGTGGAAACACCACAAATGTCTATGAACTTTCTGGTTTATCTATACAAATACTTGGCCATAAAAAGGAATGAAATACTGATACATACTACAATGTGGATGAACCTTGAAACATTACACTCAGTGAAAGAAGCCAGTCACAAAGGACCGCATATTGTATGATTCCATTTGTGTGAAAAGTCCAGAATAGGCAAATCCTTAGAGATGGAAAGTAGATCAATGGTTGCCAGGGGTTGGGGGAAGTGGAAATGGGCGGAGTGACAGCTGATGGGCAAGGGGTTTCTTTCTGGGATGATGAAAATGTTCTAAAATTGATTGTGATGATGGATGTACAACTGTGAAATCTACTGAAAACCATTGAGTTGTACACTTGAAAGAGGTGAGTTGTGTAGTCTGTGAATGATAATTCATTAAAGCTGGTAGATAGATGGGTAGCCACCCACCACGTGTCCCAGGACAATATCCTATGCTTCTCGAAGACACAGGCCATCTCTGCTTTGTAAATACTGTGTCCTAATGCATGAGTGCAAAAACCTCAGGTAGTCTTTTTTTTCTCTCTCTTGGAGAAGTGCATAATTCTTTATTTACTCTAAAGAGAAGGAGTCATGTTTCCATGATGAATGCACAGAAAGCAAAGCCCATTTTGGTCTACACTTGATAAGATAATTGCATCGCTTTTATGAAATCTAAACAGAGTTAACAACTTAGGGCCCAAATCACCTGCCCGGCTGTCAGCTCTAATTATCTCAGGTAGCTTTCACAAAGGTTGAGTGTGGCAGCGATACTTCTGAGCAGCTGAGCACTTGGCTGGAAAAAATGGCTTAATCATCACACACATGATTTTCAAGACCCTTCCCAGCGTTTGGCTCTTCTCACTCAGGATTTCTTGTGGATGGTATTGTGCCTTAGCACCAACAGGGTAGAATCATTTGTCCTTTTAATTCTAATTTGGAGATCAATCTTCCATAGCTGCTGTTTGGATTGTAGGCTCCAAGCTCTAGAAGCAGCAGTATTTTTCCTGAAAGCAATAGGGCCCTCAGAGAATACTGTGAGGACACTAGTTTTCTATTGAGCGTCAGGCTTTGGCGGTTAGAAGAAGCCATTTCACTGAAGGTACCTCGAGCATGTTGGTGAGCCCAGAAGGGAAGCCTTGGAAGGGCAGCGTGTAGGCAGGCTCATTCAGCTTGTTCTTCTCTCTTAAATGCCTCATGAATCCATCTGGAAGGATGGTAATTTGCTCACTGGGACACTGATAGCTCCAGGTGGCAGGCCCACGTCGGCCAGCACGTGTTAAGTCCAAAGCATTCTAGCGTCCTCCTTGATGGGCTGGCATTGGCCAGGCTTTAGAAACTTACCCTGGTTCTCCAGGTCTTCTGGGCTTTTAGGAGATACCAGTTCGTCTACGAGGCATGACTGGTATCGGACCATCCTGGCTCGTTTGTGTGTAGTGTGTTTACTTGAGCAGAGGCAGAGCTGGAGCTGCAGCTCAGACCAGCCTCCTCACGTTCTGACTTCCTGCCTTTGTTCTAGAAACCAGACGCAGCTGGAGATGAGAAAAATTCAGGTCTGCGCCGCAGTCAGTTGACATCCAGTCAGTTAGAAAGAGAGGAAAGCATTTAAGGTGTTGGGATGGGTTGTACAAGCTTCCTTCCTAAGAAAGTGTATTCTTTCCAAGTGGTTGGAGAAGACATTTGCTATTTTTTAAATAGCAGTGACTGGGGGGGGGGGGGTCTAATGGTGTCTAATCAAGACTCTCTGGTTATTGTTGGGGCCGGATAATAATAGTAGCTAATAGGGGTTGAGCCATAGGTAAGAATATTGCTGTCCTGACTTTACAGAGAAGGAAACTGAAGCTCGGGGTCTGCCCAGGGACCCACAGCTCAGAAGAAGTCAAGCGGTTCTGAATTCACAGCTTTCTCTTAATCACATTGGCGCATTGCCTTTGGGGGTAAATCACGTCCCTGTTACAAGGTCAGACTGAGCTCTGATTTGTGCTTGATATGGGGACGGGAGGTAATCCATAAATATGCTTTTGTTTAGATTTGATTCCAAACCTAATGGCGTATGTAATGACATGATTACTACTATTAGTATATGGCACTGTTTGCTGAGATGCCAGAGTTTGTATTTCGCACAGGAAACTAGACTGGCAACCACCGCTTAACGCACTAATGCTGGTAATTAGCGAAGCTCTCATTTAGCTAAAGGGACCATTTGCCTTTGAAACCAGCGTGTAAATGGAAGTACAGTAATCTGTCATCCCAGTCCACCACTTTGTCCTCAGTTTGGACACTGGCTGTAGCTATTTCTTTAGCTAGCTAGACATTTCAAATAAACGGTGTTCAAAAAACATCTATAGAGGGGAGAAATTCTGAAGTCCTGGTGGAGTTTTGGTTGATTGACTCCAATGTCTCCCTCCAGTAAGACCGGTTAGACTCTACTGATGGGCAGGGATGAGCCTCTGGGTCTAAAGTGCATTAGCAGGATGTCACCTGCTCCTCCCTTTTCCATACAGATACTGTGTCTGATTGGTCTCCTGTGCATGAAGCAGCCATTCATGGACGTCTGCTGTCTTTGAGGAACCTCATCAGCCAGGTAAGTAAGTTTTTGGGGAAAAAAAGATGAATACTGGGCTTCCCTGGTGGCGCAGTGGTTGGGAGTCCACCGGCCGATGCAGGGGACGCGGGTTCGTGCCCCGGTCCGGGAGGATCCCACGTGCCGCGGAGCGGCTGGGCCCGTGAGCCACGGCCGCTGAGCCTGTGCGTCCGGAGCCTGTGCTCCACAACGGGAGAGGCCACAACAGTGAGAGGCTCGCGTACCGCAAAACAAAAACAAAAACAAAAAAACGACATCGTATAATTTCAAAGACTTGTTCAGTTCTGTTGAATCTCCAGTAGAAATGGCTCTGCCCAGTTTCATATTAGTGTCTCTGCTCCTTGGGTGTCATTTCAAGTACACATTAATTTGAGTTTTGATGGTTTGAAATTATTGGGAACTTAAGCAAAGGCGCTTTTAAGAAAGAAGTTTCGATCGCCGCTCAAAATTCCAGTAAAGTTTTTATTCATAGTGTTTTGTTCTCTGAAGAGACAATATGGACCTTTTAGGTTAGAAGCTCTTGGCCCTTTCATGGACCCCTTTGATAGTCTGGCAAAGTCTATGGACCCCTTCTCAGACTAATGTTTTAAATGCATAAAACACAATATAGAGGAACTCTATAAACAAATGTGTGACACAGTAATATATGAACTTCTTTATTAATGCATTCAGTAAGAAGATTTAGTGGTGATTCTAATTACTACCATACTTTCTAAGTAGGCTGAATGTATATTTTGAGATATTTTAGATATCTGCAATATTCGTACTGCAATTAAAAATATCTGAGATTCCTCTCTGTGATAGTCATATACTGCTGTTACTACTGTGGTTTGTGATCTAAATTCACAATCAAACGACATGATAAGTTTCAGGTGGTAGTTCGTGGAAATGTGCTTTGAAAAAATTCCAGTTTCACGGACCTATATAGACTAAGAAATCCTCCCATGAGAAAAGAGTTTCTAAAGACGATTTTCAGACTGCTCTAAGCCACTATCTTAAGCTGTTTTTGGTAGCAGCAGCCTCTTATAAATAGAAATACAGATAGTAACACGTAACTCTAGCTAAATGAAGTTAAGCCGCTTCTCAGATAAAATGAAACATTTACCTTTTTTTGATAGGGTGAAAAATGATCATTGCAGCTTTTATATATGACTTATTAAATTGGACTGATATTCATTTATGTTTAGTATTTACGTGTTTACTGAATATCAGCTGGAATCATGTCTTTATCTAAGCTCTTTTGCATTATTTAAGCAAGTTATTTTCTTGGAACCTCAATTTCTGCCTTTATAAAATGAGTGTTCCAATACCTACCTGTATTAGTTAGATCTTGCTATGTAACAAAACACTCCAAACTCAGTGGCATAATACAATTGACATTTATTTCTTGCTAATGAGACTTTGGATCAGCTGATCTGGACTGAGCTTGGCTCCAAGCTGTGGGTTGGGTACAGCTCTGCTGCACACACCTCACATCCTTATTTCACCAGTAGCTACCTGAGGAATTTTCTCCTCGTGGCAAAAGGCTGAAGCATAGCAGGGCAAGCTCAACCATGAAAGAATACTTCCAGTCTGCTTATGTCACATCTGCTAATACACCATTGGTCAGAGCAAGTCAGATGACCAGGTCCAAGTTCAAGGATCAAGGAAGCATTGATACATTTCGTCAACTATGAGGTCATGGCAAGGGCGTGAATGTATTACATTGCTACAGGAGAGTGAAGAATTGAGACCAAAAATTCAATCTATTATGTTACCTTGTATGAGTTTGAGAGAATTAACTAAGGTGACATTGTGTAAATTACCTGCACCAGTTACTCCTCATAAATGAGGAGTATCTATTTTCTTATTACAATCTACATAGCGCTTCAGGCAATCAAAGCATACTGAAAAACCCTCCTGCTAAACTAAACAAACATATTTTAGTAAGGGGAGTAAGACCAAACATTCAATTGGCTATAACAAAGAGAAAAGAAAATTACAAAAAATAATTCTCACTTGGTCCAAGAAGGCAGAAACTGAAACTGTAGCTAATTATTCTTTACTGTGACTTCACATTAAAATAATGTGAGATTTAAAAAAAAATAACAATGCCTGGGCTTCGCTGTAGGTATTCTGATTTAGCCTAGGGCAGGCTTCATGCATTGGTATTTTTTACGCTCCTGTAGGACCAGTACGTTCAGGGATTTTTTAAAAAATAAATTTATTTATTTTACTTATTTCTAGCTGCATGGGGTCTTCATTGCTGTGCACAGGCTTTCTCTAGTTGCGGCGAGCGGGGGCTACTCTTCGTCGCGGTGCGTGGGCTTCTCCTTGCTGTGGCTTCTCTTGTTGTGGAGCATGGGATCCAGGTACGCAGGCTCAGTAGTTGTGGTGCACGGGCTTAGTTGCTCTGCGGCATGTGGGATCTTCCCAGACCAGGGCTTTAACCCGTGTCCCCTGCAATGGCAGGCAGATTCTTAACCACTGCGCCACCAGGGAAGCTGAGGAATTTTTTAAAAAAGGCCATTGAGAATCTGCCTGCCGATGCAGGGGACACGGGTTCGAGCCCCGGTCCGGGAAGATCCCACATGCCGCAGAGCAACTAGGCCCGTGCTCCACAACTACTGAGCCTGCGCGTCTGGAGCCCGTTCTCCGCAACAAGAGAGACGCGATAGTGACAGGCCTGCGCACCGCGATGAAGAGTGGCCCCCGCTTGCCACAACTAGAGAAAGCCCTCGCACAGAAACGAAGACCCAACACAGCAAACATAAATAAATTAATTAATAAACTCCTACCCCCAACATCTTCTTAAAAAAATAAAAGAGCATGTGGAAAGGAACAAAAAGACTGATAGGTTGGATTTCATTAAAGTTAAGGACTTGTTCATCAAAGGTAGTATTTTTGAAAGCAATAAGTCAAGCCACACATGAGAAAATATTTGTGCCATATATATATATATATATATATATATATA